TGCTTCCAATATAGCTCCACGCTCGTGGGAGACAGCAGTGGACGGCTCACGCACGGGAGTCTCTGCCACCCACGTGGGAGACCCGGTTGGAGTTCCAGGCTCCTAGCTTTGGCCAGGCTCAGCCCTGGCTCCTGTGGGCATTTGGGGAATGGACCAGCAGATGGGAGATCTCTGTGTGTTTCTCTCTCTCTCTCTCTTTTTTTTTTTTTTTTGTTTCTTTTCAAATGAAAATGAATGAAGCAGTAAGATTCCCCTACACACCAATCAGGACAACTAAAATCGCAAAGACTGGCAACAGCAACTCTTTTTTTTTTTTTTTTTTTAACAGCAACTCTTGACAGAGACGTGGAGCAACCGGAAACTCATGCACTTGGGGTGGATGCAATGGTGAGGCTACTTTGAAAACCACCCGGTAGTCTCTGATAAGGTGAAACACACCCAGGTGCCTCCTGACTGACAACAGAGCATCAGCTACAGAAAACCCAGCACACTGCCATGTCAGGTGCCTCTTCCCAGCCCTGCGGGTGACGCGGCTGCTGACCAGAGAGGACATGACCCACAGTGCTAGCCCAGGAAGATGGAATTCCACGTTCTCTGTATGATTTCCACGAAATGCGTACAAATGCTTCTGCAGCACTGCAAAGTCAAACCCCGGAAAATCGGGGACCATTTGCGCATAACTAAACGGCTCTGCGTTCTCCTAGGAGCTGCCCAAGAGAAAACCTGTGTTCCCAGGAAAACCTTTACACGGAACAGCCGTTTCACTCACAGTGGCACAAAACCTGGACTAGCCCAGATTCCTGCCAGCCAGGTAAATGGATGCACAGATTGACGAACCCGTACAGTAGGTTACATTACAAAGGAGAGAGCTGGGGCTGCCTGCACCACTGGCATCCCTTACGGACGCCAGATCAAGACCTGGCTGCTCTGGTTCTGATCCGGTTTTTTGCTAATGAGTCTGGGAATGCAGCGGGAGATGGTCCAAGTGCTTGAGCCCCTGCCATCTGTGTGGGAGACCCAGATGGAGTTCCAGGCTCTAGGCTTGAGCCTGGCCCAGCCCTGGATGTTGTAGCCATTTGGGGAGTGAACCAGCAGAAGAGAGATTTCCTCTCTCTCTTTCTCCCCATCCCTCTGCCTTCCAAACACGTAAACAGATCGAAAACGAAGGGAAAAGCTCTCGATTCACGAAGCAACGTGGGTGCAATCCGTGCAGGGTGCCGAGCTGCAGACGGCACTAGCCCACCTGGGTGCTGTTCTTGAAACACACAGCTACGGGGAGAGGGTGCAGCAGACCGGAAACGCTGGGTCTACCCTGGACTGCAGGTGCAGCTGTGTGCGTGTCCACACTCCACCAAACGCACGCCAGAATGTGTGAGTCTTCCGGCCAGCCAGTCCCACCTGAGAAGCTGCACTAAGGAAAATGCCCGCAGCAAGCCCGTTTCACTTACGGAGCCGTTTTGACGGAAACTACTTCAGAAAGAGGAGAACGAGGAGAGCGTGCATGAAGCCATCGCAAGTTAGATGGGATAGTCAAGCACAAGGGCAACACTAGTCAGCCCAGGGGGACGGGACGCCAATGGCATCCTTTCTTTCTTTTTTCCAAGATTTATTTTTATTTATTTGAAAGGCAGTGTTACAGAGAATCTTCCATCTGCTGGTTCACTCCCCAAATGGTCACCTTGGCCAGGGCTGTGCCAGGCTGAAGCCAGGAGTCAGCAGCTTCCAGTTCTCCCATGCCAGGGGCAGGGACCCAAGCACTTGGGCCATCCTCCAATGCTTTCCCAGGCATATTAGCAGGGAGCTGGATCAGAATTGGAGCAGCCGGGTCTTGATCTGGCATCCGTAAGACCCGGCTGCTCCAATTCTGATCTGGCATCCGTAAGGGATGTCGGCATTGCAGGCAGCAGCTTAACCCGTTATGCCGCGACGCTGGCCCCGAGGGCATCCTTCGGGACACCTTTTCTCCCACAGCCTTTACCTTGAGCCCAACTCACTTCTCCTCACCTGGTCCCCAGCACTTCCGGTTCAGAACCCCAGGTGCAGGCATCTATTGGCTGGCTCATCCCTCCACACACTGGCCAACCTACTCAGGGTCAGCTGTCATCCTTGACCGACTGATGGGTCAAGGAGAGCCAGGCTTGCTGGGGCCTGCAGCTGGGACACTGGGTGGTGCAGGTGGGTACCATGCTGGGCCCTCCCACCAGTCATTTTCAAGGATAAACTGCTCCTGAGTGCATGCCCCTCTCACCTCTCTGGCATGGTATCCCAGCCAACCCCAAGTGCACTGGGACCCCCAGCCCCAGCTTCTGTGGCCGAACACAGCTACCTGGGGTGGGAACTGCGGTACAGCAGGTGATGGTGCCATTTAGGGAGGCCTGGGATAGAGTCCTAGCTACTTGGTGCTTCTGATCCAGCCTCCTGCTAGTGCACACCCTGGGAGGCAGCGGTAACAGCCCAAGTGCTTGGGTTTGCTCCTATGACTCACGTGAGAGACCCAGACAGAGTCCTTGGCTCCTGGCTTTGGGCTAAGGGATGTCTAAGTCATTCTACCTTTCCAATAAATAAGTGAATCCTTACAGTAAATAATGAGTACATGGAACTACTTGGTGCCGCTGCTCTCTGAAGGAGCCAAGGCCGATTTTGGGTCTGAGCTGAGGTCTACCCCTCTCCCTTGACCTCAAAGACCCCTCCTTCAGTTCCCTCTCTGCCCAACTAAATCTTTGAGGTGCCAGGACTCTGTGGGGGCATGGTCAGCACCGGGAATCTCTTCCTGGGTGCCAACAGGCTCCCCAGCTCTGGCCTCTGGGGTAACCTGAACCCGCCCTTTCAGGATCCGGAGAGCACACAGGCTCCTGGGGTCCTGGGGCAGGCGCTGGGGCCGCCGTGATGAACGGTGGCTCTCCGCCCCATGCAATAGGCAGGCAGTCCTTTGTGCCTCTGATGCTGGTCTCCAGCTCTGCCTTCCATGCACACGTCCCAGGTGCCGTGCACCATGGTGCTGGGCCATGCACCTGGTGGTCATGGCCCAGGTGAGCAGGGGTGAGGGCCAGTGCTGGTTGCCGGGTCCTCTTCCCTGTGTGCAAGGCTCAGGCCGGTGTCTGGGGCAGGGCCTGGGGCTGAAAGCCTCTTCAAGACCTCTGTCTGACACCAGTTCCCAGTACTGACCACTGACCACAGAAAGGCCCAGCACAGCTCTGCTGGAGGAGCATCGCTGGGAAGGGCTCAAGGTTCCCACAGTCACCAGGCTTAGGACCAGCAGGGGATGGGCTGGGGGCAGATGGGCAGATGTCACTCAACTCGTTACCAACTCCCAATCGGAACCCTCAGATTCCATGTCACGTCCGGATCACCGAGTTCCTCCAGGGAGCCCTGCTTCCTGTCCTGACCCCTCATTCCTGCAGGTGTGCTGCCCCTCGGTGAGGCGCCTGGCCCTCACGGCTCAGTGCCTCCTCTGGCTGCTGTCCTGGGGTTGTTTGGGGGGTGATAGGGGGAGGCATGGAGATGCAACCTGTCCACATGCCCATGCACGTGGGGGCCAGGACACAGGAATCCTAGGGATCTCTGCTGGCACAGAACCCTTGAGGGCGCAGCGATGTCAGAACGCCCACACACCTGGGGACGAGCGAGTGCGGCCAGCATGTTCTGTAATTATTATTTCTAGGGAAATTGTCAGATCGGCCGACAGCAGGCAGACCTAGATAGGACGGACGTGTGTAACCCACATGGACGGCGGATGTGGCATCTGTGGCTGTGTAAGACGCTCTCGGGAGAGGCATCCACACACCCAGCACCCAGGGACACCAACTGGGAAGCCTGCTCACGAGGGACTCAGGGGAAGATGAGTTTGTGCCAGGAATTCCTCAAGCAGCCACAAAGGCTGCATGGCCACAGGGCAGTGGTGGGCGCAGGGGTGGCGCTGCCGGGCAAGGCTGTGGGTGCCCACTTACACACCTGGCCCCAGCCGGCCGCCTGCTTGCTGTTGATTCCTCCGCGCTCTCCTGCAGGAATGCGGGGTCCTCTCACTGGCTCTCCCCTTTTCTTCTTGCGGTTTTCCAGCTGGCGCCGGTGGGCTGTGATTTCAGCCAGGCCTGTTTGGGTGGAAGCAGAGGGGGACCCTTCACCAACCACAGTGTTCCACATGGTGGGCTACAGAAGTGCCTGGGCTCCAGGCACAGAGCAGCCAGGAAACCTCCGGGCAGGGGTCCTGCCTCCTACGGCCTCAGTTTCCCCATCTGCACAGCGGGCGCCCCCCCCGGGGGGGGAGCCCAGTGGGTTCAAGGCCAGTGGGCATTCCCATGAGGGCTGTGTGCTCTTGCGACTGCTTTTCTAACACCAAGGCCTGGAAGCCACCATTCCTGTACCCTTCTCGCCTGTGCTGTCGTTCTGCCGCGGTGCGGACCCGGGTAACCCCGCTCCGGACGGCGGGTCCCACAGATTCGGGCCTGGGGCGTGCTGTACTTGAGCCACGTGGACCCACTGCCGGGCTGCGGACACCGAAGATCGTTGGCGCCCACAGCAAGCGCACAGCAGCCCGGGGCCTCCCCGCGCGCCCGCGGGCCCAGCCACTCGCGCACCAGGGGACCCCCAGGTCGGGGAGGCCGGCCCCAGGCCCCGGCCGGCGGGGGCGAGCGCCCCAGCTCACGCACTCGGATCCCACAGTGAAGACTTTGTGAGTTGCAAACAATTCGCTTCCAAACTGCCTCTCGGGACGGGTCCGGTTCTCTCCGCGCGGGCGCGGGCGCGGCCGCCCGCGCCCCGGCGGTGGCCGTCCGGGGGCACGGAGGGAGGGGGCCCGCGCCCCGCGCCCCGCACCCCGCGCCCTGCGCCCCGCCCTGCGCCCGGCCGGCTCCTCCCGCGCTGGCGGCCGCCGAGCGGTCCGGGCGGCGGCGGCGGGAGGAGGAGCAGGAAAGGCGGCCGGGGGAGGAGGCGGAGGCGGAGGCGGCGGCGGCGGCGGAGGCGGCGGGCGGGGCCGGGCGGGTTTAAAGCCCATCGAGGGGGTGGGGAGGCCGGGAGGCGGCAGGAAGGGCAGGGCGCGCGCGGAGCCGCTGGAGCCCAAAGTTTCCGCGCAGCCTCGGGGCGGCGGCGGCGGCGGCGCGGGGCGCCCGGCACCGTCCTGTGCGCAGCCTCGCCCGCGGGGACCCGCGACCGCCGCCGGCCACGCCGAGGGTCGCAGGCGGCCACGCGGAGGGAGGAGCGGCGCCTCGGCAGGTACGGAGTTGGGCGCGCCACGGCGCAAGTTACTTTGTGGTCCGCGCCGCGCCTCGGCGGCGGCCCGGGCCGGCATTGTCTGCGCGCTGCCCGGCCGCGCCGGGACGCCGGGCCCCGCCGAGGCGCGGCGGGCGGAAGGGCGTCGCCTGCGGGCTGGGGGGCTCGGGCGCCCCGGGGCGGCGGGACGGGGCTGCGGGGCGCGGCGGAGGCGGCTGGGCGCCCCGCCGGGCTCTCCCCGCTGCGCCCCGGGCCCCGGGGGGCAGGCGCGGGGAGCCCGAGCGGCGCCTTCGGGCCCCGTCTTGCCCGACGCCGCCGGCGGCTCGAGGGCTGGGCCGGGGCGGGGGCCCGCGCTCGAGGCCGCGCTCCAGGGGCCCGCGGCGCTCAGGCTGCGCGGCGGGGGCGGCGGCGCGCGCGCCCGGGCGGCCCGCGGCGGTGCCAGACACTCCCGAGCGCGGCGCGCGGCCCGGCCCTGGCCGGGGCGGTCGTCGCGTCGGGTGCTGCTGGTGACCCCGTTAGCCGCCGTGGGGCCCGCGGGCCGGCCGTGCGCGCGTGATAAGAGCCGTGCGGTTTGCAGGGGGAAATTTCTGATGCAACTTCCCCGCCTCGCCGGGCGCCTCTCGGCGGCCTCGGCCCGGGGCCTGGGGCATGTGCGTGGTGGCGGCCAGGCCCTTCTTTACTTCTGTGCTGAGTGCCTGCGCTCGCCGCCGAACGGGCCGGGGACGCGGGCGAGCCACAGGTGACTCCTGCGGCGGGGTCCCAGGCCGGAGAGAGGGTCTCCCGCGGACGCGGTGGCCCGTTCCGTTCCAGGGATGCAGAGCAGAGCCCGGAGCGCGCGCGCTGCCGAGGCCAGGCGCCTTCTTGCACAACTTTCTCCCCGCCGCCGGTTAAAAGGCTGGGCCCAGAATACTTTGTCTCTGAAAATGCTGATTCAGCCATTTGGAGCCCCTCTGCTGCGCGCCCCGCTCCCTTCCGCCCTGAGCACGCGTCGCTGGCGTGGCGGGCGCTGGCGCGGGGGGTGTCCACACCGCCTCTCTGCCCAGGAGCGGGCTCCCGCCGCGCAGGGCACCGAATGTGGCTTGGGAAGCCTTCAGTGGACTCCGAGCCCTGCAGCCACTGTGCTTCCAGGAATGCGTCCGGATGTCTAGGTTTTTCTGTTCAAAAAAAAAAAAAAAAAAAAAATCACAACTCTGGGATCACTGCATGGAATGTTGGAGTTTTCCTGGGAGCCCTTGAGAGAGCGCGGGGAGGCACAGGCCGGGCCCCTGATTGCAGGGAGGGAGCTTGCGGACAGATTTTGCACGCCCAGCAGGCTCACTGGTGTAACTCAGAAGCGTGGCCACGGATACCTGTGCAGCTCTTCCCAGCTCCCCAGGCCCTCGGAGGCGCCCCGTTGCTTTTAATCCCGTCTGCAGCCCCTGACCCCCGTTTCACAGGTCTGAAACCCAGGCTCCCAAGGTCACTCGGCCTGCCCAAGGTCCTAGGCCCAGCACGTGACAGGGCTGTCAGCACGGCCTAAACGTGGGGTGTTTTTAGCCCTGTGTGCTTTATGCCCCTGAGAGAGTACATCCACCTGGGAAGGAGCAGCGGCGAGGAGGAGGAGGAGGCCCGCCCTGCCCGCCACACAGCCAGGCCGTTGAGGGGCTGCTGCCAGCCCTCACGTCACCGCGTGGCCGGGCTTTCGCCCTTCACACGTGGACCCATGCCTGTTGAGTGGGACTTGCTATCTCCATGACGGTTTAATTAAGATGGAAGAGCTGAGGGCCCCCCAAACCAGCCCTTGCGTTTCACCTCTGGCCGGCCCCATTTTGGTTTTCGGTTGTAGACCCGGAAGCCGGAGCCGTCCGGGCCCAGAGCTGCTTGTCCAGGGCTCTGGACGGTGCTGGCCACCGGAAGCGGAAGCCGGGGCAGCCCTGCTCCTGCTCCAGTGGCCATGCCTGTGTCCAGTGAAAGAGTAAAGTCAGAATCGAGGAGCTGGCTCAGGACTGATTCTGAGGACCTGGCCATGTGCTCGAACAAAGACGGCCGCTGTGCCTCCAGCTGCATCTTGGAGCAGTAGCGTTTCTTGGTTGGGCTGGCTGATGAAGCCTGACGCTTTGAGGTGGCATAAATTAAGGCCCCGTTTCCTCGACGTTCTGTCCAGCTCTGGGCTGCACGGGTGGGAAAGGCCCACAGAACAGGATGTGCTGTGTGCCTGTCCCGGCCGCCTGCCAGGGCTCGCAGCGAGGGATTTCGCTCTGTCTCCGGGCCTGTGGGTTTGCACGTTTGCATAATCCCTGTGTCTGTCTCTGTCTGCTAATCCAGCGTGGACCGCATGGGCTCAGGAGGAGGAGAGATTTACCGTGTCTTTATCAGTCATTATGTTCTAAATTGAATAAACTTGAATTTTTTTGTTTTTAACCTGCCTCGTTTTGTTTTTTGCTTAATTGTAGATGTTTCCTTCCTTCTTCTTTCTCTAGCTCCTTAACGTAGAACCCCAGGGCACTGGTTTTAGACTTTTCTTTGCTGATAGAAGCATTTAAAGCTAGAAGTTTCCCTCTGGGCACTGCTTTGGCTGCACCCAGTACACTTTGGTGTTGTATTCAACGTTTTCCCATGAAACCCAGTTCAGAAGTATGGCGGATTATGTGCAGCATTGAGGTGGTCAAGTTATTTTTGGGGCTTGGGAGACAGGTGTTCTGGGGCTCTGAGCAGGGATCTGCAGGGCCTGCCCGCTGATGGGTGTGGAGCCCTCGCTGCTGCCTGCCCTCCCTAGCTTAGAGACACAGCTGAGCTGATCTCTGAGGAGTGAGCTTTTGTCCACATGCCTGCTGGTCACCAGGCCCGTGGCGGGACAGCAGCATGCAAGGCCTGCAACCCCCCATGCAGAGGCCGGCCCGCGGCTCTTCTTTCAGCATGGAATGCAATGTGGTGTGGTCGTCCTTTGCAGCGGTTACATAAAAAAAAAAAAAAAAAAAAAAAAAAAGAAAAGAAAAAGCCAATCTGGGGTTAGCAGAAACAGTGTCAGGTAGAGAGGAATGCGCCTGATTCCCTGCGTCGGGGCAGACCCCGTTTCCTGGCGGTGGCTGCCTCACATTTCCCACCTCCTCTAGTTTCTGCGTGGATTTGGGGGCGCTTCGGGGTGGTCAGCCTGCCCCAGGATGGCGGACGCCCTTGCTTTCCGTCTGGGTGTGAGGCTCAGTAGGAAAGGGGCTCTGCTCCCCCTGCGTTCATCTCTGGTGCTTTGTGCACATTCGTGTGAGCGCAAGTCCTCCACTCCAACGGGCTGCATTTGCTGTGACCCTTGGGACGCCTCCTGGGCAGCCTTCTGAGGGCAAAGGCACTGGCCACAAACCGTAGCAGCCATCAAAAATGGGTTCCCTGCAACTAGCAGACGGCCTGCCGCACGCCAGCTCAGCAGAGCTCGGCGGGGGCTGTGGGCCTCCCGAGGCGGTCAGCTCCGCCTCTCCTTGGCTCCTTGATGGCCTCGGAGCTCGGTCACTGGGCCTGGGCTCCAGGAGCTGCAGTTGTGCTTCTGGGATTCAGAAAGCGCTGGGCGGGGCCTGTGTTGCAGTGCAGGGGGGTTGAGCCCCTGATTGCCATGCAGGGAGCTTGTTTGAGTCCTGGCTGCTCCAGCTGTGATCTGGTGCAGCTGGAAGGGCAGTGGAGGATGGCCTAACTGCTTTTCCTCTTGCCCACGTGGGAGACATGGATAGAGTTCCAGCCTCCTGCCTGGCCCAGTCTCCAAATGCAGCCATTTGGAGAGTGAACCAGCAGGTAGAAGGTCTCTTTGTCTCTGTCACTCTTTGTTTCAAATAAATAAGTCTTGAAAAAAAAAAAGCATTTGGCACAGAAAGAGCTCAGATGTGTTGGTCTTGATCAGTCAGCCCACCCCAAGTTCAGCACAGCTGGTGCAGGGTGGGGGGCTGGCAGCCGCCCTCACTGCTTCAGCAGGGAATCAGCACCTGGCCCTCCCTGTCACGAGCGTGTCACCCTGGGAGCTCTTCGAGGGGCCTCTAAAGCCGTTCCATGCAGCAGGGGAAATGCCGCTAGGGATGCCTGCACCCGGTTTCAGGGTGCCGGGAGTGGGTCCTGCCTCAGCCTCGGGTCCAGCTTCCCGCTAGAGTGCAGCCTCCCCAAGTGCCCACAACAGCCAGCCCTGGGCCACACCAAACCCAGGAGCCCAGGTCTCCCCACACAGTGGCAGGGACCCAGTGCTCTGGAATCAGGGGTGCAGGCATCTTAACCCCGAACGCCGCGACGAGAATGTTTACGGCATCTAATATAGGCTGAACAGCCATAATCTCAGAATCCAGAATGTTCCAAACCTGAAGCGTTTTGAGCACTGGCACGATGCCACAAGTGGAAAATTCTACACCCTGAATTACTACTGTATGGGGTGGGCATTCGGTGGAGTGGTGGACTCTGCCACGCAGAGTGCCTGGCTCCATGTCCGATTCTGGCTTCTGATGAACAAACCGCGGCAGGCGGCAGGCGAGGGTTAGGTAGTGGGGCCCTGCTGTGCGGAAGACCCCGATGAGCTCCAGCTCCCAGACTCACCTGGCCCAGAAACCTACTGTTGCAGCCATTTGGGGAGTGAACCAGCGGATAGAAGAATCTTTGTGTCTCTGTCTCTCTGCCTTTCATGTAAAAATGAAAATAAATAAAAACTAAGAAAAAAATGCTGTATAAAACCATTTTCAGGCTATGAACATAAGGGCTACAAAGCACTTCTAGAAGTCTGGAAAAGCGGAATTGAACGGTAAGATTATTTTGTTTCTAAAATGTTTTGAAATCTTTGCTTGCTTGTTTCATAATATGCATTTCCATGAAGTTTTTGAAGGTCTCTTTTCTGTGAAACAAATGAATTTTGTGTTTACACGTGGGGTCCGCCCTCAAAATAGCTCATTGTGTATATGCAAATAATCCAAAATCCAAAGAAATCCGAAATCTGAAACACTCTGGGCCCCAAAATTTCGGGTGAGGAATTGCTACCACGGAGTAGCATTTCTTAGGATTCCCCA